TGGATGGATGGATAGGTAGGTAGGTAGGTAGATAGATAGATAGATAGATAGATAGATAGATAGATAGGTAGGTAGGTAGATAGATAGATAGATAGATAGATAGATAGATAGATAGATAGATAGATAGATAGATGGATAGATGGATGGATGGATGGATAGATAGATAGATAGATAGATAGATAGATAGATAGATAGATAGATAGATAGATAGATAGATAGATAGATAGATAGATAGATGGATGGACGGAGTGATCACCATGTGTCAGGCACTGTGCTAAGTGCTAAAAGTACAAACAAAAGCTAGCAAGATGTCTCATCAGCATGAATACATTAGCTTTAAGGTCTTTGAGGTCAGAGATTCTTTGGGGGCTTGTCTTCATGTCCCCAGCACTTAGCACAGTGGCTGGCACATAAGTGCTTGATAAATATTGGAATAAGGGAAGTTTTCAAGGAGAGGAGACTTGAACTAAGTATGTAGGGAAGGGAATGACTTAGGTAGCCAGAGGGGTGGAGTGAGGCAATCAGGAGGAACAAATTTAAAGATAACTAATGTAAGTGTTCATGTCTTAATAGGTTTCTAAAAAATTGAACTATTTGTCACCTATAGAGAAAATGTCGAAGAGATCTATGAGGTTTCCCAGAACAGCCAAAAGAAAAATCAATAAATAACTCCTTTCAGTCATGTCCGAAATTTAAAAAAATATTCAAATATGCTCAGCTTTCTCTGAAATTGATTAAAAATAGAAGTGTGTGCTGATTGGGCCCCCATGAATGAAGTCTAGATTCCAAAACAGGATTGAAATTGATTGCAGTAAGAGTAAACGGCTGTAATTAGATGAAAGCTGTGCACAGAGCCTTAATTAGTAAGAGGTAGCTCACTTTAAGGGCTAAAAGTAAATACTGCTGGGGTTGATTCATGGAGCAGCTTGACAGCCTGCCTCAGGTAAGCCTCAAGGTCTGCCCTGCAGGTGCCTTTTGCAGGCCAATTGCTCTTGTCTTGGCAGTGAAAAAGTGAACATGTCCTCTCCTGGGCCTGCATGCACACTTGAGTAGGAATCCTGCAAAGAGGGCTCCCATTCTGAAGGGATCTGACTTGCTGTAAATAACAAAGCACCTCACAGCTAAAAGGCAACTGCCTTGGAATGGGAGCTACTTCTTCAGCTGCTTCTTCAAAATCAGTAAATATTGCAAGATCCATTGATTGACTTTCAGAGCTTCTGGTGCATTTCTTATTTTAGCAGAGAAGAAAAGATGTTCCTTTTGGTTACCATGACTTTGTGGGGGTTTTAACATGGTACCAAAAATGCCCAATTCTACCTAATTTTTATGAAATTTCATTTCATGGTTTAAGTTTTGGAGTCAAAGGGTACTAACTCTAAATGTTCTCCAAACATCAAAGCTCTGTATGGTGGGGCAAGGGACTTTTGTTCAATGTCTTTTAAATTTGATTCAATCATGCAACAGGTATTTACAAAGCACTAACTTTCCTAAGCACTGGGGACATAAATAAAGGTAAAAATGGTCCCTACCCTCAGCGAGCTTACATTTTAATGGGGAGACAGCATACAAATCAATAAGTTCATGTAAAATACCTACAGAGTAAATGGAAAGTGATCTCAGAGGCAACAATTTATTTTGAGGACCTTATCGAGGGGATCTATGAACACCCCCTGACCTATGTTATTTTTAATAATATTTTATTTTTCCCCCAAAACAATTTCTTAACATTGTTTGTTTTTTTAGATTTGAGTTCCAAATTCTATCCCTCCCTCCCCACCCCCTTCTCTGAGACAGTAAGCAATCTGATAAAAGTTATACGTGTTCAATCATGTGAAATGTTATTAGTCATTTTGTACAAGACAAAGGAAGGAAGGAAGGAAGGAAGGAAGGAAGGAAGGAAGGAAGGAAGGAAGGAAGGAAGGAAGGAAGGAAGGAAGGAAGGAAGGAAGGAAGGAAAGGAAGGAAGGAAGGAAGGAAGCCATGGGGTTGGGATCTGGACCCAGAAAGGAAAAACCCTGGACTTTTCTACAAGGCCAAATCTCTAGTGTTCACCTGAGGCTATAATCCCATCAACTGGCCTTGTGGCTACACTCAGTCTCCCAATTCTCTGTTCCTCTCTATGGTCCCTGGCCATTTCCCACCCTTAATCCCAGCTCTCCCTTGGCCACATGGTCCAGGTCCCAGGAGTTCTGTTCACCCCAGCTTACTGGCCACTCCCATTCAGATCTTCCTTAGACCCCTTCTCCAGTCACCCCAAACTACTTTGTCACTCCTAGATCCCTCCCACAGTCCTTCTGTATATAAGTCCATCTTGTCTCCATTAAGGTGCTTAGATTCTTAAAATCTAGGCACTGCTCAGATTCTTAGAATCCAGCCAATACCTCACAGACTTTCAGATTCCTCAACAGTCTGGCTAATATGGAGAATCTTTAATAAACCTTATCTTTGGCTGAAAGAAGGCTGAGGTCAAATTCTTTCAGGCAAGACCCACATGTCGTGATCTCAGGGTCCCAGCACCCCTCATCAGAAGGAAGGAAGGAAGAATGATAGCATGCTTCAGTCTATATTCAGAGAATATCAGTTCTTTCTCTGGAGGTGGATAACATGCTTCATCATGAGTCCTTTGGGATTCAAACTTCTATTATTACAATAAATTCTTCCCAGGTCTAGAACTAGGGGGAGGCATTGGGGGTTTTGTTCCAGAGCGCTGAAATCTTGGGGGCCTGGATAGCTTTAGTACTTCTTAAGCAGGTAAAATGATATAATTTAACACTGAGGTCAATCAAGCATTTGTTAATCATTTACTGTGTATGTGCTATCTACTGTGCTAGGTACTAGAAATACAAAGGAAAAAAATGAACATTCCCTGCTCTCAAGGAGCTTTTTTTTTCCCCAGGGGAGAAAACATGTACATAAATAAATATATGCAAAACAAGCAAATGGGCTTCAAGGTACATTCCACAGGGAAGAGAGGGCACCAGCAGCTGGGAGTATCAAGGAGGCTATATATAGAAGGTATTTGCAGTAACCATTAGTTAAAAATAGGAATAAATAGGAAGGTACCAGATGGTTCGCTTCACCCCATCCTCCCCTAGCCCAGTCATTCTGCCCCAGGTGGACAGTTTCCTGCCACGTCTCCAAGTTGTTGCCTCCCCAGCTACAAGCCCTTGACATCTAGGAATCTCTTCCCCTTACCGCACAGGGCCATGTATCTTAACTCTCTTTCTTCAGTTTCTCTTCTCTGACCTCACATGTAACTGAATTTGTTTTTTTTTTAAGTTGATTTTAAGGAGCTTTTCATGCTGTTTGCCTTAAGGGCTAGTATGCTAGCAATAGTTCTGATTCTTCCTTCTGCATGAATAGAATTGTTAGCCCTGAAGACTGCTGCTAAGTGGAGGGTCTCAAAAGGAGGGGTCCTTCTGTACTGTGAAGTAGGATTTTGTATGGCTGGTGAAGGACTGAGGGCAGGGCCTGCAGGTGGCCTAGAGCAAAGACATATGTTTCCCTAGACAGTTTTATAGAAATTAAATCAGATTAAAATGAGTATCAAGGGCAAAGTGCTACCCAAGAATGGGATGAAGGAAAGATAGAAGGAGAAGCAAGGTACAATCTCACTGACTTTGCCTTGGTGTTGGCAAAGGGTGACAGTTTATAAGCAGCTAGCATATAGGGGAGTCCCATATCTTTAAATCATGGAGTTGCAAGGAACTTTGGGCCAGTATCCCAACCAATTCAGGAATCCTTTCTTCTTTTTTTTCTCTTTTTTTTTAGTACCAAGCAACAATTGTTTCATTCTTCACTACTGATTTTTCTTCTTTAGCTAAGTTACTGGAGCCACTCCCAAGGTATGGGATCAAAGCAATCTGATAATCTAGGGACAGCTTTCTGTGCTGGGGTCCCTTTCCAAAACTGCACCAGGAGCAACACCTAAGACCTCCCTCAACCACTGCAGGGTACCCGAGTTCAAAGTTCCACTTCATAGCTGTGGCACTCCATTCTTGTCATTCACCCTCATGAAGCCTTAGTTCTCATACCAGTAAACTGGAAGATTTGGACTATATGGTCTCTAACATTCCATCCAGCTCTAGAATTCTATGTTTCCATGGTACTCTAGAAGAGCAAATGTTTAATAACTGCCTTTCCTGCTCCCCAGAAATAAGATTTGATGGAATCCTTGACCTTTGGGTAATAGATGGCTTCCTATTAGTTAAAATAGTCTTTAGTAGTCAAACATTATAGCCATCCAATTGGGCTTGGAATCAGAAGGATTTGGATTTGAATCCTGCCTCTGATACCAATATGGCCAAGGACAAGTACCTAAGCCTCTCTGCGATTCTGTTTCCTTATCTGTAAAATTGAAATAATAATAACAATAGCACCAATTTCACAGGATTATTGTAATGATCAAATGAGATAATGCGCATAAAGTGCTTTGCAAAGCTTAAGACACTATGTAAATGCTAAATATTATTATTGCTACTACCACTAATGACAACGACAAAAAAAATAGCAACAGCAGTAATGTTAATGACCTACCAGGATGCTCCTCTATCTTGGGAGCAATGAAAGTGGCCTCAATGTAGCATCCCTCCTGGCTCCACCAGAACTACAATTCAACTTTGTTCCACAAGTTTTCAATTCTTATGTCAACAAATGTTAATAAAGTACCTCTTCCATGCTAGGTATTGTGCTAGACATTGAAAATGCAAAAACAAAATGAAAACAGTGCATGCCCTCTATTAAGGGAAAATAACACATACCTAGAAAATTTAGTACAAAATGAAGCAATTTCATGGGGAAGGCCCAGGTCACATAGTAAGAGCAGTATGTTAACGGAATTGGACACAATCAGGGCACAACAAAAGAGGAGGATGGAGAGAGATGCAGTCTCAGAAGAGATGGGCCTGACAAGGATGTATACAAGGAAAATCATTTACTGGCAAATCAACAACCTATTCTAGCAATTTCTTAAATTTGTCTCTATCTTCTCTGTCTCCCAGTCAGACACAGAGTTTTGGGATAAGATGCAAGCAGAATGGGAAGAAATGGCTCGAAGAAACTGGATATCTGAGAACCAAGAAGCCCAAAATCAAGTGACAGTTTCAGCTAGTGAGAAGGTAATTCAGAATTTGGACAGTACCATTTGTGTTTCTCTTCCCTTACAGCACACATCCATTCAATTCAATTCAATTCAATTCCATAAGCATATCTTAAGCACCAGGCTTTGTGTTATGTACAAAGACAAATCCAGGGCACACTTTGCTTTAAGGAAGTGTGCTTTTTAGTGGTAAATGCAACATGAAGATGAGTCCTTAAATGCAGGGGAAATTGAAGAGGTTGTAGTGGGGATCAGAAAAGGAGGTCACGTGTCAATGCCCTAAGTTATCACCAGTGTTTTGGAGAAAAGTCTGGAGTTAAACAGGAAACCACTGAGCTAGTGGGAATATTGTTGTTGCTATTTTTGTTTTCTTAGAAAACCCCACAGAAATCACTCCTATTCATGATGGTTGCCACACCAGAATTCACCTCTTTTGTTTCATTTCTGTTTGACTGACAGATACTGGAGCAGCCAAGATATGGACAGCCTGTCTTCTGGCTGATCTCTAAGCCCTGAGTTCCTTTTGAGGCTTGGTTATCAGAGAATAAAGATAACTCCACAGCCCTTTTGTCCTCATCCTCCAACCCCCATCACTCAAGCAAACCCTGCCTGCAAGATACTGTACTGGTGGCTCTGGGAAGGTTGTCAGTTACTTAGGAAGAGGGGTGGTTGGGGATGGGAGGCAAATGACATGTGACATTTTGACCTTGTGTAGGTCACAGAGATGCTCTTGTCAAAGTGTTCTGTCTGTGCCCAAAAAAATTAAAAGAAAAAGATCAAATCTCCAGGGGAATCCTCAGAAATTCCCTTGATAGGAACTCCAAGGAAATGAATAAATAGAGCAGACAGCCAAGCAAACTACCCATGAATTCCCAGGTCTGTAGTTAATGCTTTAAAAACAAAACCAAAAACTTTGGATCCAAGTTTCCTTAAAATGCCCACCATGTTACCCATCCTTTGCAAAAAAGTGTAGGCATATTTTGATATTCCAGTGAAGTCATGATCTCTTTGGCATAAGTTTTTCCATCTAAAGTACAGATCATGCCTTTGCATGCTGTAATATGTTTTCATGAAACTTAGTAGTGGATCTAACCAAGGTGCTGAAGTCCTCCTCTGGTGATTTTGTTATTTCCCAGACCCCAGTGCCTAATAGAGTTCCTGACACAAGGCAGGCACTTATGAAAGAATATCTGATTATTTGCTAAGTAGCACAATTCTTGGACTGCCCATCTGTTAATTCCTCACTCTTACAATGTGTCTGGCCCACCTCCTTTTCTGGCCCAGTTTACATATACCTGATGTCTTTCATGACATTTTTACATGCAAAACATTATTGGTACGTACATCTGCATACCTCTCTCCATTGCCCTTTTAGCCAGATGCAGTTTGAGTTTTCTGAGAGTGAAACGTTCCATAATTCTTATCCACACATCATCAAAGGGATAAAATAAATTCTCAAAAAATAGACTTCTTGGGGAATAGTTTAGCATCATTGAAAGAGGCATGCAGAGAATTAAGGTCTCTTTTCAGACTAGATGAATGAATAAATCATTTACTTCTTTCTTCTGTGTGTCACAGGGGTACTACTTTCACACAGAAAATCCTTTCAAAGACTGGCCTGGAGCTTTTGAAGAAGGATTGAAAAGGCTGAAGGAAGGGGACTTGCCTGTCACTATACTGTTTATGGAGGCAGCGATCCTGCAGGACCCTGGGGATGCTGAGGTATCTCCTCTTGTCTTCAGGGAAAAGCTGTGGGTGAAGTAGCTGTTGTATAGTGGCTAGAGATCTGGCATTAGAATCTGACATGTACTGGTACATAGTAACCTTGGGCAAGCTATTTAACCTTTCACTGACCCAGGTCACTCTATAAGACTATCTTTTGCAAAGAGGGTATTGATCTTCACTGGTAAAGGGAAATTTTGCCTCCAGAATTTCTTGCACCAATGAAATTACAGGTCATGAGGAAGGAAGAAAGGGAAGGGAAGGGAAGGGAAAGGAAGGGAAGGGAAGGGAAGGGAAGGGAAGGGAAGGGAAGGGAAGGGAAGGGAAGGGAAGGGAAGGGAAGGGAAGGGAAGGGAAGGGAAGGGAAGGGAAGGGAAGGGAAGGGAAGGGAAGGGAAGGGAAGGGAAAGAGGGAAGGAAGAAGGAGCTGAGGGTACGAATGCTGAAGGGCAGGTGCTGCTCTCAGGAGAGGGGGTTGCCCCCTCAGAGATCTTTGATGCATTGGGATGCAAAGACAGAGATTTCTTTTAAGTCAGGGTAGATTTATATTAGGAAATGGGATGGAAAAATCTGAACTGCCAACCTGGCAGACTAACCTCAGCTCCCAGGCTATAGGATGAACTTTTTATGTGGAAGATAATAGATCTAGTGTTAGAAGAGACATTGGTGATCATTGAGACAAACGCCCTCATTTTACAGATGAAGAAATTGAGGCCAAATGGGAGAACATGACTTGCCCAGGGTCACCCAGGTTCTAAGTAGCAGAAGTGTGGCTGGACCCTGGTCTGACTCCTGAGAGGGAGTCCCCTGCTGTGGCATCTGCAACTTCACAGAGTTGTGGTTATTTGTGCTTTTGAAGCCAGGGATTGTTCTCTGTGATAAATAAAAATGCCCAACTCCAAGCATTTAGAGGGCCATGGAAGGGGCAGATAGCACAAGCACAAGAGCTACTAAGTTCTGGTGTATTGAAACTGATTAAAAGGAACAAGCTACCACAAGTGAACAGCCCCAGACCTGGCCATTCCATCAGTAAGCAGAGAGAACCAAGAAGATCTTCCTTGTAGAAGGTGGAATTGAAAGTCTATTTGGAGTGGAGATGCAAAAAGCTTGAAATCATTCCATTGGCTGCATTCTTATGAAAGGGCAGCATTTCATCAGGGATTGACGGTAATTATAGGTCTCAAAGGGATGCCTTTTGCTGAGGACCCAGTTGGTAGTGATGGAGTTGAGGGGGGAAAGGTGCTATGGTGGCCCAGTGATTTTGTTAATGTGGGGAATTCCTGGTGTGGAAACTCCTCCGTGAATGCAGATTAGCCATTCATTTTCTTATCTTAGAGAACTGCCTAGATCACTAAGGACTGAAAGTGACTTATGCAAGGTCACTGAGTCAGCCATAGACAGGTCTTAAACCCCCAGTCTTCCTGCCTCCAATACCCACCTGCTATCCCCATGGGCAGTGATTATACTTTTATTCTGATTAACAGCCCCCCAAAATAATCTAAAAAATGAAATTGAAAACTAAAACATCTGAGCAGAAGGAGTCACTGTCCAAACCAAAATCCTTCTAGATAATGCAAAGCTGATAGTCCTTGAAGACCTTAGAGCCAGAGTGATAATAGTGGTTGGCATTTCTGTACCTTTCTTTAAGGTTCATAAAACCCTTTACATAAATTATCTCATTTGATCCTCACAAGAACTCTGTGAGGTAGATGCTATTATTATCCTCATTTTACAGGAGATGAAACTGAGGCCAACAGGGGTTAAGTGACATGCCCAAAGTCATTTAGTGATATAGTGAGTATCTGAAGCAGAATTCTAGCCCAGCTTTTCCAGACCCAAATCTAGCACTGTATTCATTAGACTATACTATTTATCCAAGAAACCAATAAGGTAACTTAGCCTAACCCCTGCATTTTATAGATAAGGAAACTGAGGCTTAGAGAGATGAAGGGACCTTCCCAAGGTAAGTGGCAGAGCCAGAAGAGAACCAGGGTTTCTTGATTTCATGCCCAATGCTCTGTCCATCAGAAATGGAATCGGACACAATGGAAAGAAAGCTGGGCCTGGGATCAGAGGATGGAAGTCCAAATTTTGGCTCTACCACTGACTTTGGGTGAGTCATCTGCAAAATGAGGGGCTAAGGTCCCTTATAGCTCTAAATCTCTGATCCCAAGAAAGCCCACTTTCAAAGAAGCCATGTGACACAGACATATTCCAAGCCTTGGACAATGTCCTAAAAGAAGGAAAAGGATTGCACACCCATCTTAAGAGGCCCTCCAAATAAATTTGCACCATGAAGCCAAAATGGAAATGGTTGTACTGGCTGTTTATAAAGGGAGGGCAAGGAGGAATCACAGACAGGCTAGATTGGGGACTGGAAGGGGAAAAACCATTCCTCAGCAGTTTTTATTCACAATGCGGGAGCCCATCTGGTATATACAATAAATAACCTGTGAGGGAAAGGAAGATAAAGTTGTAATTACACTTCAGTGGGAATCTAAGTGTTTTCCCTTTAGTTTTGTTAGAAGAGATGTTTATCAGTCTGCTCTTGGGTCAGCATTGAGGGAAACTGCTGCAAAAAAAAATCTTATTGTCACTTAGGAGTGTTTGTTATTACCTATTGATGGAGCCCTTTCTGACTTCAACCAGACTTTAGCCAAGCATCTGTGTCCTTTAGGGACCTCATCTCCTAAATGTCTAATTTTAGGTATATACCGTGGTGGTCCTTAACTGAAGTTTTCAGATATTCGAAAGTAGTTTGAATTTCTGGGAAGTTATAGTGACTGGAATGAGAGTCTAAAGATGAGATTGGGCTGCTCCTAATATAGGAACAAGGCATTTTACGTTTCTAGGCGTTGGCTTCCTCATGTGGAAAAGAACAGATTTAACTTAGATGATTTTTGAGTCCTAGATATTGGAATTAAAGGACACGGGTTTGAATCCCAGTTCTGTTCATCGTAAGCTCCTTAAAGGCAGGGGCTGTCGTTTTGCTTGTATTTCTTGTATTCTTGCTGGCACTTAGTACAGTGTCAGGCACTCAGTAAGCGCTTAATAAATGCTTATTAACTTGTTGACTTGACTTTCAGGGAATGACTATGACCAAATCACTTCCTCTCACTGGACTTCACTGTCATTATCCGAAAAAGGAGATTTAACAATCTCTCTTAGGTCCCTTCTCACTCTAAATCCTGTTCCTGGGATCATCCATGTCTATGATTCTATAATCAACAGGATATATGAGAGGCAGCAAGGCAAAGTCAACTTTTGACAGTTACTAGATGTGTGAGCTCAGCAAAGTCACAACCTCCCAGTGGGCCAGGCAGCACTCTTAAAACTGCGCATGCACGCGTGCACACACACACACACACACACACACACACACACACACACACACACACATATACATACATACACACATGTGTCTGTATATATATAATGGATGTAGTTTTATACTGGGAACTCTTTGCCCTTATAAAACCATATATTCAGTCATTTCAGTTGTGTCTGAATCTTCCTGACCCCATTTGGGGTTTTCTTGGTAAAGATACTGGAGTGGTTTGCCATTTCCTTCTCCAGCTCATGTTATGGATGCAGAAACTGAGGCAAACAGGATGAAATGACTTGCCCAGGGTCACATAGCTAGTATGAGTTTGAGGCCAGATGTGAACCAGGTCATACTGACTCCAGGTCCAGTACTTCATCCACTGTGCCACCTAGCTGCCCTGATGAAATCTTAAGTCTGAACTAAAAAGAAAAATATGTGTGTGTTCATAAGGAATGTATGAATATGTATATATACATAATTATGACAATATTATATTGTTACATAACTGAATATGTATCTACCTCTTCCAATGAGCATGTAAAGCTCTTCCTTCCCTAAGTTTAGCCACAGGCCACACTAATCAGAGAAGGGATCTGTAAATCCCTTCCAGGCACATGACCCAGGAGTGTTTGAATAGAGGCTGGTGTGGCACTTAGTATGGTACAGTAGAAAAAGCACTCAGAAGCTTCTGCCTGAGAAGAACGTCCTCCACCCTAGCTCTGAAGTCAAAGGTCCTGGGTGCAAATCTTGCCTCAGATTCTTCCTGCCTGTGTGTCTTTGGGCAAGTCACTTAATAGTCCCAGGGATCCATTCTTTGTCTCCAAACTAGGCAGATAGGACTAGTTGACTGCTGAGGTCACTAGGATCCTGTGTCATGAACGGCATTCCTACAGTGTGTTAAAGGCTAGACTGGCTGACGTCCTGGGTCCCCACCAACTCCAAGATTCCATGAATCTAAGCCACAGGAGAATTTAAAGAGATGGATGCGAACTCTCTCCCCTTTTTTGCTGGAAAACCCTCAGCGACCCAGGACACTGAGGGCAAAGTGGACCAGCACTTACACCACTGGAGGGCTGGTTTTCCTCTGGGTCCCCACCCCGCATTGACATCAATTTTTATTTTCACAGGCCTGGCAGTTTCTGGGTGTAACACAGGCAGAGAATGAAAATGAGCAAGCTGCTATCGTCGCCCTCCAGAGGTAGATGATGCTAAGTGTATTCCTCCTGTTTCAGATTTGTTTCACGCATTCTTTAATCATGTTTTTTAGTAGAGAGCAGAAATGCCACTTACACCTGACACCCAAAGGCTAGATCAAGAATAATGTTTTGTTTCCTGCCTCTAGGAAATAGCAATATTTCTATACCCTACAAAATGATCCAAAGCCCTTTCCTCAAAAAGGGGGTCAGTGTGATGACAACCGGATAGAGAAAATATGGCCTAAAGAAGAAAACTAGGTCTGGAGTCCAGGAACCTGCATTCGAATGTCACCACTGATGACCGCTGCCTGTATGACCTTGGACAAGTTACTTAACCTCTCTGGGCCTCTATTTCCTCATTTGTAAATAGAGGACCTTAGACCAGATGGCATCTGAAGTCCTTTCTAGCTCTAGTATGACACTGTGTAATCATGTACGTATCCAGGCCTATGATTTCATGGGTAGAGAGAACATCTGGTATGGAAATTCCCTGGTTCGGTGCAGGTCAGAAATTTGTCAACATCTTCAGAACCTAGGATCATAGGTTTAGATCTGGAAGGGACTTTAAAGGTCATCTGGTATAACCTTTCATTTTACAGATTAGAATACTGAGGCCCAGATCAATTAAGTGATTTCCCCTGAGGTCAAATAGCCAGTATGTGTCAGAGATAGGATATGAACCCAGGTCTCTCTGATTCTGAGGCCAATGTTCCATTCATTCATTATTCGATATTGTCTCTCATATAGACATACATAGATATATTGTAAGGGGTGGTGGAAATTATACTGTGTATACACGTATATATTTTCACTTATCTATATTTATGCCCTCCTGAATACTAGCTCCTTGTGGTCCTTTCTGATCTGACTTTTAGGAACTTAGAAATATAATTGTCTCATCTATAAATACAGTATTTATGGTAAGCCAGCAAATTTGCCTTACGCTATTTACAACCCACTTCCTAATGCATTTATCTTTCATTATAAACCCCCAGACTGAATCCCCTAATTAGGTTATCTATGCATTCGATTAGGTTAGTTATCTACACAGCCAAAGCAATGTATCCCCAAATCCGCTAATGATTTCGCTTAATATGATCTGCCTGCCTGGTGCCCAGCACACGACCATCCTCCACCCTAGGAACCAAGAAATGTTTGTTGCTGTTGATGCTGATAATATCCAGAAACAAAGAACTTGTCCAGAAACAAAACTTCTTGCTTTTGCATCGTGGTATCCTGAAGGAAATGTCCCGAGCTGATGCTTTAGATGCTTTCAAGCTTCTGTGTGGTTAGGATTATCCTTGAAAGGTGACCAGACAGAGTCCTCCATTGGTGAGCCTGTTGTAGGTAGACTAGATAGCAAACTGGACAGAGACCTGGCCTTGGAGTCAGGAAGACCAGGGTTCAAGTCCCTCTTCTAACACCTGCTCTCTGTGGAGTCCTGGGAAAACCTTTTAACCTCTCCTTACTCCCAGGCGACTCTCTGAGGCTGTGCAAGTTGTCAGTCAGGCACTGATCTGCATTGGGAGAGGAGCTTTCTTGCCAGGAGCTCCATAAACTAATAAAATTACAAGTCCTATTAAAAGAGAGAGACAACAGCAACATCAGTGACTTGACATTACTACCAACTTTAACTCCGTCATCTAGTATCATGGGAATTTCCCAGCCTCCCTTGCAGGGACTAGATACAAGTAGCTATTCCTTGCCTGGAATAGATGCAAGCTTGTATCTCTATTTGGCAAAATGCATGTTTAGGTTTTGTGTGATAGGGCACCAATTCAAATGACCACATTCCTTTCCTCACAAAGAAACTAAGGTATGACAGTGGGGGATGGGCCATGCTCCAGCCCGACTCACTCCCAACTTTGAAAACTTTTTAAGATTAATGTGAAGAAAATCAACCTGTGATTAAGAAGGTTGTTATTACATATAAAATATAAATAAATATAAAGTTTATAAATATAAAATAAAATTTATAAATATAAAAATTTATAAATATAAAGAAATTTATAAAATATAAATTTATATATAAATGTATAAATAATAATAATTATATTATATTATTATAAATACAATTTATAAATATATAAATAAATGCATATTTACATCTAAATTTATAAATATGAAAATTTCATAAATAAAATTTATAAATATAAAATTTTATAAATATAAAAAAACCTAAATTAAGTCCTGATTTCTATCTGGGTAAATAGTATATCTGGTTTGTAGGACCAGCTACAAACATATCTATGTCTAGTGTTTGCAAAGCACTTTATATATGCTTTCACATTTGATCGTATGAGGGAAGTGCCATTATTTTTCTCATTTTATAGATGAGGAAACTGAAGAGGAGGGAGATAAGTGACTAGATATAGGTAACAAGTAATTGCCACTATGCTCCCTTATCTCTAGAGCTAGAAGGGACTTCACAGGCTAGGCAGTCCATTCTTCCCTCCCCATTCTACCAATGAAGAAACAGAGGCTCAGGGTGGGGTGGGGGGGGGAGAGAGAGAGAGAAGGAAATGGGAAGAGAAATAGGTATCAAGTGACTTGTCCAAGGTCACACAAACAGTAAGCATCAGATCCTGACTCTTTCCCCTATTCCACTCCCCACTCATTATTCCTCCAGAGGCTTGTCAAACTCAGCAGTGCGATTCAGATTGATTAACAAACCCAGCATATTAGCAGGAGAATTGCTAGACTCTGTCTCATAAAACAAATGAATTCTAAAATAGCTCTTTTTTTGCCTTCTCTCAGGTGCTTAGAATTACAGCCCAACAACCTGAAAGCTCTCATGGCCTTGGCTGTGAGTTACACCAATACTGGCCATCAACAAGATGCTTGCAGCACTCTGAAGAATTGGATTAGGCAAAATCCTAAATATAAGTATTTAGTGAAGAACAAAAAGGCGTCTCCAGGCCCAGCCCGAAGGATGTCTAAGTCACCAGTTGATAGGTACCCTATTCAATGTGTTACCTAATTAGTAAGTGCCTGTATTCACCTTAGGGTTCAATCAGTCAATCAACAAACATTTATTAACTGCCTGCTCTGTGACAGGCACTGTGCTAAGAGCTAGGGACACAAAGACCAAACTGAAACAGTCTCTGCCCTCGAGGAGCTTATATTCTATCAGTAAGACGATATCTCCACACACAGGCAGATAGAAAATCATTACAAGGTAACAGAAGAGAGGCAGTGGCAGCTAGGGGAAAGGGGAGATCCAGAAAGGTTTTGTGTAGAAGATGGCATATGAACTGAGCTAAGGTTTCCCGATTTACCACTCCAGAAAGGGTTTTAGTAAAATATCCTCCCAGAAAGCATCTTGTAAGTTAAAAAAGCAAATTATAAGATATCATTGGATTGGAACTCAACCTTTCCGATCCCAGCTCAGGAATCTTCAATGGACGTCGATTGCTGCCATGACGAAATACAAATTCCTCAGCTGGCCATCTGAAGCTCCAAAGAGTCTGGCTCTAGCCGCCCTTGCCAGACATATTTCATATTATTTCCCCTTCATTCCCTTTATGTTTCAGCCAAACTGGTCTGGTCTACATTCCATCTCCTGCCCCTGCATCTTTGCATCGGCTGTCCCTCACGCCTGGCATGTATTTCTGCCTGCGTTTGTTAGGATCTTTAATTTCCAAGTTCTGCTCTGGTACCACCTTCAATGGAAAGCCTTTCCTGACTCCCATGGTTGTTAGTGAGCACTCTCTCCTCAAATCATCTTGCATTCACTTCCATATCATAGACTATGACAAATCACAACTGTGGAGCTAGAAGGGGCCTTAGAGGCTATCTCTAGTTCAATCCTCTTATTTTACATATAAGGAACAGACTTACTCGAGGTCATACAAGTAGTAAGTAACAGAAGCAAGATTTGGAACCTGGCTTTTCTCTCTCCAAATCCAGGGCTCTGCTTAATTATGCACATATTGTTTCCACATTAGAATGTAAGCTCCTCCAGGGCAAGAAGCATTATTATTGTCACTGTATCCCTAGGCTCTATCACAGTGCCTAACACACTGTAAGCAGACACTTAATAAGTACTAACTGGATAAAATTACATTGAGACAAAACTTTCAAAACATGATTCACACTGAATGATCTTAAGAGACGTTTGTATGCTTACCATATTTTAAACCAAAGCCTCTGGCCTTTTAATTTGTCTAAAGCAAAATATAATTAATATCAACACCTCAGCTCTTACATGAACTATGAGTTACATTGTGGCCAAACCAGAAATGACATTCCTGAGGAAGCTCTGCTTTTTTAGAGATAAATCATTCACAAAACCCAAAATGATATGCTGCTGGAAGAATGCAGAAGCTTAGCGCTGAAATCCTCCACATTCCTCCTCACGGTTTTAAATAGAGACCTTGTAAAGACCTCACCTTTGGAGCTATGTCTAAGTGAAAGCAAAATATCTGAATGAAAATCAGCACATATTTTGTAATATTTGAGGGTATCAATAGCAAGGATTTCAACTCAAGCTTTAAAAAAGAAGAAAGATTGCTTGGAGTCCAAAATCTAAAAAAAAAATCTTTTCCTTGAGGGTCATCCTATGTACAGATGAAAATTCCTCCCATACATTTTCATTTACTCCTCTAGAGTGACCTTTTCCCCCACTGTAATCTAGCCTGGACAGATGCTGAAGTATTACCCAGCAGTCTAAGTGGGTTTGTGGTTTGAAGAAATTGATCCACAAATGTGAATGAAAGCCTTAGATCCCATTTTCTTGAGACACAAATTGCATTCCAACTTCACTGACTAAATTCTGCAAACCATCCACTCATTTTCTTGGAGGGAAATCTACGGCTTTTTTGATCCTATCTCCAGAAGGTCAAATTCTGAGATCAAATAGAAGTGGTCTCTTTGGGCACAATCTAGAATCTTTTAAATAAAACTCAGCAGTACAAACTACTTTCTGAATTCTACTTGTCAAGGGGTTTTAGACATTTAATGAAGAAGCCAATTTTCCTACTGTTTCCAAGTAACATTGAGGTAAATCCCCAAGCTTCTGATTTTTCTAATGTTATTCTTGTTTTATTTTATGAATTAGAAGGAAAATGGGCTGGTTTTCAATAATGAAGTGTAATTGTGGACAGTGAAGTGCTATGCTGGTACTCTTGTGATATCAGGAAAAAATGAGAATAAGGAAGCAATAGTCTTAGTTGACCCTGCCTTGGTCAGACTACAATTGTTGTAGTATCTCATTGCTATTCTGGATATCAGATTTAAAGAAAGGCATTGATAAACTGGAAAGAGTTTAATGGAGGGCAACAAAGATGGTAAAGTCCCCTGAGCCCATGACAATGAGGATCAGTTGAATGAAATGGATATATTTAGACTTAGTCTCATTTAGTCTGACATTGATAACTGTCTTCAAATATCTGAAGAATTGTTTTGTGGGTGATTTTCTGCTTGGCCCTAGAGGGCAGAACCAGGAGCAGTAGATAGGTGGGAGGTACAAAGAGCTAAATTTAGGTTTGATGGCAAGATAAGTAGAGCTGTCCAAAAGTGGACTGAAATTCTCAGTTCTTGGATTTTGAGGCTTATCACCCCCTTCCTAATGGAACTGTGCAATTCTGTGGGTCTGACATAGGCAGAGGACTTTTCATTATGATTGATAATAATAATGCCTCACTTTATATACTGGTCTAAAATTTGCCAAGCATTTTACAAACATTTATCTCATTGGCTGGGGATAGTGTGGGATAAGGAGGAACATTCGTGCCTATGATTTGTGTTTTACTCCCCTCCAGTTCAGTCCTGGAAGGAGTTAAGGAGCTGTACCTGGAGGCTGCCCACCAGAATGGAGAGATGATCGACCCTGACCTGCAGACCGGCCTTGGGGTGCTATTCCACCTAAGTGGAGAATTCAGTAGAGCAATAGATGCATTTAATGCTGCCTTAACAGTTCGACCAGAGGCAAGTGCAGTAATGGTTTCCTGTTCATTGGATCTCAAGGTTCACCTTCTGCCCATCCCCACTCCCAAGGCAGAGACAGTTTCACTTTCAACTTTATATCCCCTAGTATACCTAGTATAGTGACTGGCACATAGTAGGTACTAAATAAATGCTAGCTAATTGATTTGTATCCCAGTCCTGGCATATAATAGGTGCTTAATAAATGCTAGTTGATAGATTTGTAATGCCAGCTCCTGGCACTAGTAGGTGCTTAGTAAATGTTAGTTAGTGGGTTTGCAGCGCTAGTTCCTAGCACATAGTAGGTACTTAAGAAGAATTTGATTAATGAAATTGCATTACAATAATTAAGGTTTCTCAAACCATACTCCTTCCACACACATATTTAACAGTTCAAGATGGTCAATATTAATGAGGTATTACTTTGGCTGTTAATATTTTAATTCTTAAAAATAAAAGAGGGAGAAAGGGAATATTTTAATGCCTAAAATAGAAGTATTAATTGAAAGAAGTTCCCAATGAAAGTAGATTTATGTATGTCAAATTATGGACACTTGGCTGATAAATGGAAGCAGGTTCACAAAGTTTTCCTTAATCCCATTGTGCCATATCGTTACAGTCCATGACAACTAGTCCTAGATAAACTTTTATGAATTTTCATTATTCTAAGAGGGGGGAGGAGAGTGGTTTCCTTCATCATTCTGACTTATACCAGAATTAGAAATGGCTCACTTCACTGTTAGGATTATTCATTATGGAACCGCCTTGGTGCCACATTGGCCAATGGAGACCGCAGTGAGGAAGCTGTTGAAGCCTATACCCGAGCTCTGGAAATCCAGCCTGGCTTCATCCGGTCCAGATACAATTTGGGAATTAGCTGCATCAACCTGGGAGCTTACAGGTAATTCATGAAAACAAACTGAGTGTTAAAAGCTGAATCTGATGCTCATCCTACCTACATACTGAGGCAAACCAACTGCCTGTGTAGTAGCCTAGAGGATACCCAGAATAATCATCTGTAAGACTATATAGTATCTACTTTAAAACTATAAAACTTCTAATTTTATAGATTTTATGATTGATCCTCCCTCTCACCCCCCACCACGCAACCCGTGATGGAAAATATGGTGGAGGATTGCAATATGGAAGGGGCTAGAGGCTTGTAGGCTATTCAGAAGCACAACCCCTGTGTACCATGAAAACTTTCTTAAAGAAGAGAGGAGGGAGGCACTGCACATGAATAGGACTGAACAGCATCTTAAAAAGTGGGGGTTGCTTCCAACTCATCTATTTGCATTCAGGCAGACTATTGATTTGTTAGAGTAAAGGTTAAGATCCACAACCAACTAGATGGTTGAAGATAGGAAGAATATGAAACATGTGACTAGATCAGCTCCATCTCAACTTATTTAAACAAGATGTTGACTTTGAAAAATGAGTAATGCACCAAAGCAAGGACATGGTCTTTGATTATCATGATTTCTAATTCATGTAAAACAATTGCCCCAACAAAGAAGCCACTTATCTGTTTCCTCTTAGCAACCCTCTATGATTATCACTTACAGATGAATACGTGTTTTCTATCAGCTTCTGTTGAATTTCCACACCAAGTTCTTTACCAATGAAGTCAGAAATCTGGACCTAAAAACATACATGTGTGTGTATAGTTATATGAGACTCAGAGAGAGAGAGAGAGAGAGAGAGAGAGAGAGAGAGAGAGCGCATGATGTAGTGAATAGAGAGCTAGTCTCATATCATACATATGAGTTCAACTTCTACCTACTATCTGTGTGACCCTGGCCAAGTCACTTGGCCACTTAATTCCCCAATTCTCTAAGACTATATATTTCATAGTAAGTGCCAGTCTGCACAGGCAAAATGCAGCGATAGATAGATAGATAGATAGATAGATAGATAGATAGATAGATAGATAGATAGATAGATAGATAAATAGATAGATAGATAGATAGATAGACAGACAGATAGGTAAATAGATAGATAGATAGATGGTAGGTAGATAAGTATATAGATAACAGAAAATAGATAATATTAAAGGCTGAAGGTTGAAACTATGGGCTGCTGGACAGAATGACAAATGGAAAAAGGACTAACAAGTTATAGTTTCATTGCTTGCTCTTGTAAAATTGTTATTTCCAAAAGCTGTTTCTGCTTTTTGTCCAGATTATTTTCAAGTATCATAATGACAGACCTTTCCCTACTTCCCTGGAGACATTAGTCCATAAATTTTTAGTGTCATAGAGGAGTTTTCAGATGTTTTGACTGAATTTGGGGCTTGGCAAAGATGAAGTGGTTTGCCATTTCCTTTTCCAGTTCATTTTGCAGATGAGGAAACTGAGGCAAACAGGGTTAAGTGACCTGCCCGGGGGCACACAGCTAGTAAGTGTCTGAAGCCAGATTTGAACTCAAAAAGATGAGTCTTCTTACCTCCATACCTGGAACTCTCTCTATCCATTGTGCCAACTAATTGCCCTGCAGAAGGAGTAGGATGGGGGAATGAAGGAAATAGATTTAGGAAATAGATTTCAGAGTTTTGTGTTCTCTAAAGAGAAAAAATCCTTCTCACAACTTTAGTCAAGCAGATGCCGCCAAAGAATGCGTACAGCACATAAGGTCATTGAGCTATAATTGGAAGGAACCTCAGACACCATCTAGTTCAATCCACTCATTTTACAGATGAGAAAATGGGAGTTCAAGGAGGTTGTTAATTGACCAAAGTTGTACAGACATTAAGAGTTGGAAGTAGGATTTGAACTCAGATCTTCTGACTTTAGAGTCACTGTGCTACACTGTGTGAAATTGCCTCTGCTCTTTAAAATACAAGAGCCCCCAAAGTGTGGATCATTGTCAAAAGAAAGAAATACTCCATGCTAGGGACATATGGGAAGCAAGGGGAATCACCACTTAACAAACATGAATTGAACTGAAGCTGGATTTTCCAAAGCATTGATAAGCATCTCAGTAATTATCTCTTGGTGGTAATTGTTGTGTATGTCCATAAAGTATATGGCTCTACAATCTTGTTGCTTCTCATTCCTGTCCAAAGGTAGCCCACACTCTACTTCTACGGTAACAGGGAGTGGATTGGCCTGTGACCTTAGGCATGCATAGCTGCGGCAAGCTGCTCCAGCACTCCTTGATCCAGGCATTAGTATTACCCCTTCCCATGCAGGTACAGCAGTCCATACTTTATGATGCTAGCATATAGCTCTTGAAGTGATACAGGTCTTGATGAGGCACTGGACCACTTTTCCCACCTTGAAGAGGCTACAAAACAAGAGTGAAATTCTACTCAACCCCAAGATCTTGGGCTGTACCTCTAAAGCCTTGAACTTACCCCTTATCCCAGCAATGAATCAACATGCATTTATCGTGCTCAGGCCAACCCTTCCCTTCTCCCTCTTGGCTAGGTAAAAGTCAAAGTAGAATCCTCAGAGTGGGCTGCCTTTGGACAGGGATGAGAAGTGGGTGAAATGATGGGTAGAGGAGGTAGAGACAAAAAGAGAATGGCCCCTGTTCTTGAGGAACCTTGTGTGAGTCAACATATACCTGTACAGGTAGAAACAAAAATATACTCTTTAGTTAGGAGGAGGGGGCACTGGTAGTAGGGCAGTTGGGGAATCAGGGAAGACTTCATGTACAAGGTGGTACTTGAACCGAGTTTCAAAGAAAAGTAAAGATTCTAAGAGTCAGAGGTGAGGAGGAAGAGTATTCCAGCCATGGAGGATGATCAGTGGAAAGGCACGGAGGCGGGTTATAGAATTTTGTGTTTAAGGAACAGTTAGCAGACCGGTTTGACTGGATTGTAGAGTATGGAGCATCACATAATGAAGCTGGAAAGGGATGTTGGATCCAGGTTGTGAAGAGCTTAAAATGCCAGTTCTGTATCATGGATTGATTGGTCACTATGTCCTGGAGTTCTATTTCTTTGAGTCTGAGTGAAATCCTGGAATCCTTGACTCATGGTACTAAGAAAGAGCAGAATCATTTTGTGAAGGAAAGGGCCTCATCCGGTCAGTCCCAGATCACTGCTAATTCCCTCATGTGTCCTCAGACATGTCACCCCTGGCCTCTTGGCCTAATCTAAAAATGAAGGAATTGCTTCTAGTTTGGATGACTTTAGCCAAGTCACCTCTCCTCTCTGGATCTCTTCTATAAAATGAGGCATGTAGACTCAATGATCTGGGGATTGCAGGATTTGGAGTTAGACCTTAGAAAATGTATAAATTCCTGGTGCCATGTGCCATAGGCTCAGAAAACCAACTTCATATTCATTTCCATCTCTTGGATTATTGGTGGCATTAAGTATCAAAATTCGATTTTACAAACATTTATTGGTTATCTAATTAGTGTAAGGGCAGGTGTCAGAGAGACAGTAGTGAAAAACTTCACACTTTCTGCCCTCTAGCTTAGTGGGATCATAGCTTCAGAGTGGGGCAGGAGACAGGGTGAACCTCAAGGGTCAGCTAATTCAACATTCACATTTTACAAGTGAGGAAAATGAGGCACAGGCAAGTTAAGTTAATTGCATGAGCCCACCCAACTAATAAGTATCTGAAGCGAAATTTGAGCTCAGGTCTTCCTGACACCAGTTCTAGTGCTCTGTCCACTTATTCCATGCTGCCTCTCCATAAGCAGGGGGCAGAAGGGAAGAAAAGATAATATGCATTTCTATAGTGCCTTCTATGTGCTAGGCACTAAATGCTATTTAAAAATATCTCATTTGATCATCACAACAACCTTGTGAGGTAGATGCTATTATTTTCTCCATTTTACAGAAAAGAAAACTGAGGAAGGTGCAGGTTAAGTGACTGGCCCAAGGTTGCAAAGCTTGTAAGTGTTTGTGGTGGGATTTGAACTGAAGCCTTCCTGACTCCAGGCTCAATACTCTGCCCACTGTGCCACCAGCTGCCTCACCATAAGCTAATTAAGAGAGAATTCATAAGAGTCCACTAATAGTGGCAGTGGGTGAAAAGGAAGGAGCAATTAGTCCCATCCGTAATGATTGAGCCAGATCTTTTCTGCCAGTCTTTCTCACACATACCACACGCCAAGTGGCAAAGAAAGAGTCTTTAAAAAGGTATATTTCTGATTGCACCATAATTACACTCCCATTTTGGGAAAGAACAATATGTTAGTAGCATAAAATTATTGCTCTGTAGGGAGGTGGCTTGTGCTCCAATAACAAGAACTTTGACTGCAAAACATCACATGAATCTATTGGGAAAACGTCACCTTTTCCAACGTCTGTTTTTTCTTCTCCCTCAGGGAGGCAGTCAGCAATTTCCTCACTGCCCTGAGTTTGCAAAGAAAGAGCAGGAATCAGCAACAAGTTCCCCATCCTGCCATTTCTGGCAACATCTGGGCTGCCCTCAGGATTGCTCTCTCCATGATGGACCAGCCGGAGCTATTTCAGGCAGCTAACCTTGGGGACTTGGATGTTCTACTAAGAGCTTTCAACCTGGAGCCATGAGGAAGAGATGATTCCACCCAGCAGGGCTACTGGAAAAAATAATTAGAATGTCATGCAAATTGCAAAAATGATTTTATTATGAATTTCAAAAGGAGAAATCAGATGTTCAAAAGACCACAGCCATGCAACCCAAGGGAACCCCTCCCAATGCTGCCCAATTTCCGTCCAAGTTCAAAAGCACAAAACGTTGTACATAGTGTCAAGTCTGGATTCAAAACAAGGCTAGAAAGAAATGAGATGAAATGAGAAGGCGGACAGTGGGTGAGGAGTGGCTCTCACCAACTAAGAGTGTGTTGTAAGCCATAGATGCCAGCTTTGGGGCAGCTGACCATTTGTCCAAGGACCTATCCCTTTAGGACATCAGACCCGTGCAGAATAAAGCACTGCTTCAGGCCATGGAATACAGACTGGGTCTCTTGCTGGGTTTCCCACAATCCCGCCTCCCTAGGACACAATCCAGCTTAGACCACAGGGCATGTACACTGTGTGGGTTGGCTGGGTGGGAAAGGCAGGCAGCATTCTTTGGAACCGGTTTCCTTTGGAACATTCACAGTTGCTGTTTGATTTCAGAGAGTTGCCTTTGCAGGCACAAGCAAGCTTTCTGTACTAGGCTTTTTTTTTCTTTTCTGCTCTTAGCCCAGATTGAGGCAGGAGCAGGAGGGTGGTATTGGGGGGGGGGGGAGTCAAACTGTACATATGCACTTTAATATCTCATCATTTATGCCTTGCTGGGCTCTTGGGTTGTTTCTCCACTTTTAAACCTGAGAGAGAAAGGTTTCAGAACACAGCTACCGTTGTTCACTCAGTGGACCAAATATTCATTTTTGACAATTGTTCTCATGGTATAGGGTTTGACAAAGTGTTTTTCTTAAAGCAGACATAACAGACTGAAGGCATCAGTTCAAACATAGACTTTCTTACTGACATAAGTTCGAAACATACACAACCCAGATGTACAGAGCTTTATTCCTTCAAGTACCTTTGGCTGGGGCATGCTATTGCTGAACTCACAATTGTTTCTTGGAGGAAGGTTTGGAGGGGGGGAGCTAAATGTTGGTCCCAACCTATGACTTCATCACTGTACAGAATTCCCTGGTGAAGAATCTCCTTCCACCAATGCAGGTGGCCAAATACTCTGCATCTTATAATCTTAGATAATTGCCTGGAGGTACTTGGAGGTTAAGTGACTTGCCCAGAGTTACACAGCCAATATGAATCAGAGACTGCACTTGAACCCAGGTCTTCCTGACTCCAAGGCTGGCTCTGTATCCATTATGCCATGCTGTTTCTCATAACATATTATCTAAATGACATCATTGATCTGCTTTGCTTCCCAGCATATCAATGGTTATTTTTAACTATTAATATTTTAAATGGTATAGCCTTGATAAATACATTTTTTAAACTAAAACTAATAGTGTTTATTCAGTTCCACCCTGCTGGTGCTGCTCCCTGCCCTCACAGTACATTCTGAAATGCAATGTGGTGCCAGCTTGCCCACACGGCTCACAGGCTTTTCCAACCAAATCAGTGAACGTACTTGGAACGTTCATCTCTTGACCTTGGCCCTTATTTTGGCAAGTAGCCCAAGTATCGAAAGTGTCCCTGAGATTTCTCATTTACTGTGGAGAGGCTGCATGTAATTAGTAAACACTGTGGTTCCATGATCCTGGAATGCACTCAGCTCCCTAAAGTCTTGTTGGATTCAAATGGCTGCCTAATGGGTTGGAGTTTTTGGTTTTGGTTTTATTGGGGAGCAAATGTTCGGGAACAGCTTATACTCATGTTTCCTGTAGTTTTCTTGTCTCTTCCTCCAACACCTGCTCCACCCAAAAAAACCCCAAAACTATGGTGGCTTTTTCCTTATTAGTTCTGTCAAATTCAGCTCAATGGTTATCAAATCACACCAAAAGGAGCTATTTAAAACAACTCAAGAAATCCACAGTTTGAGGTTCATGGGGACCACTTTGTCTAACCATTTCATTTTACATTTGAAGAAACTGAGGCTGAAAGAGAGGAAGTGATTCACTCAGGTTTGCATATTAGTAAACAGCAGGGCTGGGATTCAAATTCAAGTCTTCCAATACCTAATACAGAATACCGAAATAAAAAGAAATGCATGCCCCAGTCCCAGATAGCAAGCCTTCTCTCTAACTGTCACCTTAGATTGGTTGGATGATTGAAAAGAAAAAAAAAGGATCTAATATGAATATGACACTTCAGATCATGAAACTTCCTGCTATAAATCTGGAAGAGCATTTAAATCACCTAATCCAACTACTTCATTTTAACATAAGGCCCAGAGAAGTTAAATTACCTGTCCAAGGTCACACTGATTGTATGTGACCAGAGCTGGGACTTGAACCCAGATACCCTAACTCTAAATTTATCACTCTTTTCACTGCCTCAGGGCAGAAGTGAAACAATCTCATGTATTTTGTAATGAGAAGTAAGTGGGAGGTGAGGATGAGGGGAAGGACAGAGTTTACCAGTTCTTGAACACTGATGAACATGATCCCAAAGCCCCCTATCAGCTTAAAATCTATGGAACCTATAAGTTCTTAGAGTTCACTTTTGTGGAAATCAACATGCATTTTTCTTTTTAAAAAAATGGAGAGCAGTAAACTAGTCAAGAGCACCCTAACCTGAAAGCAGGCAGTTTGTGATTTCAAGACTTGTGATTTCAGATTTCAGACAGATTTCAGACACAAAATCACAGCAGCATGATGGCAGGCCAGTGGCATGGGCAAGGATGGCAAGAAGGAAGACAGGACAGAAAAGGAGTGGAATTATAAAAGAATAAAAGATGTTATAAGAGGGGAAGAAAGAAAGATAAAGGGAAAAAGGCCCTACCTGTGGTAGAAAGCAACCAACAGTTACCTCAGGTGCACAGACTGCCTGGTCTCCTCCCTTCTCCAGGCAAAACCACACCATTCCATATAGAAGGGTATCTATTGCACATTTTTAACACCTACAGAAAAGGTTTCCTCACTTTCCATGGTAGCATAGTTCAATATTTGTCCATCCATTCTATAAGAAAGCTCTTATTCCATACTAATTTAGACCCTTTATAATGCAGTAGAATCATAGAATGTTAGCATTAGAAGGGATCATAGAAATCAGCTAGTCCTTGTCATTTTATAGATGAGGAAAATATAACCCAGACAAATGCAGTAACCTTCCTCAGGTTCAACAGGTCATAGGTAGCAAAACTAGGACTTGGGTCTTCTGGCTTCAAATCCAGCATAGCTATCCATACAGCATGCTGCTTTTTGAAAAGAAAGACCATTGAAGCATTCCAGAACTTTATGGGTTTAAGCCTACCATCGCAATTACTCCCCTTGTAATATTATTCTTCAATATGAGAGAAAATTGAAGTCCTAGTAATTGCTACGAGCTATGTCTGAAGCCTTTGAGAGCTACATGTCCACAGTAAGATTTCCATGAAGAATGGATTTCTGTTGCTTTATTTCTTTTGTGGAAGTTTGTGAAAGTTGAGGTAGTAATGAACTTTCAGGATCTCAAAATGTTTGGGTACAGAGATAAGACAATTTTAAGCTGGAAGAGATTATGGATTCAGATTATAGACTTGAAGATTGTAGACTCAGACCTGCAAGGGACCCTAGACATCAACAAGTCTAATCTTTAATTTCATAGTAGTAGACAGATCTGTTCCTACCAATGGCTTGACTACTACTATATTAGCACCCAGTCTAATTGTCCTAAATTTGCCCAGTGTTCACAAACATAGGGATTTTAGAGAACTATGCCTATTGGGCTATACAGAATGATAATGCAAATATATGAGAGAGGCCATTGTTCAAATTATATTTTCCATGTAATTCATGTAGCATATGGCAAGTGTTTACAGAATCCCAAGAATAACCAGAAATTAAGTACAAGACATTACCGTGGGCTTAGCTGTATGCGTAGTCTTTTAAAAATGTATATTCAGATTTCTTTTAAACCAAAAATATCTTCAACATGAGATCAATCTTGGGTAACAGAATGTCATTCAAATTTCTTTTCTTTTTGAAAGGACAAGTTTTTGGGTCCCGAATGTCCTTCCAATTGGAGCTGTTTGGCCCTTAAATAGAGGACCCTCTGTTTCTGTAGCTATTTCTTTATATTTCTAAGCATAGTAGAGGACCTCACCCTGAAGGGTACTATCTGGTGGTATCGTCCTACCAGACCATGGAATAGTCCCTTCTGGTTGCTCACAGGTGCTGAATTTGTTGGTTATTTGAGGAGAAAATGCAGAGAATGCTTATGAAGTATGCTTGTAAAGTCTAATGAGTTAGATCTAGTTGAAGTGGGAGCTGTTTCTGTCTCTTTGAAAGTATTTAACAATTTAAAGTATTAGCCAATATTGTGATAATATTGGTCAGAAAGAGGAAGAAAAACCAAAGAAAGAATAGAGCAAAGAGGGATAAGAGGAGGAAGAAAATAATAGGACAAGGATAAAAGGAATGAAGGAGGAGAAAAAATAATGGGAACAGGAGAAAAGAGTAGAAATAATAGGAAGAGGAATAAGTGGAGAATAAAGAATAGGAAAGGAGCAAGAATAAAAGAAGAAAGAATAGGGGAAGGAAAAGAAATAGGAAAAATAGGAGCAGAAGAAAGGAAAGGAGGAGTGATGAGAGGAGAAGAAAGAACAAGAGGGGAATAATAATAAGAGAAAAGCAAGAATATGAGGAGAAAAGGAAAGGGAGACATGAAGAATAGTAGTAGTGGGGAAAAGAGAAGAAAAGATAGGAGGAGGAATAAGAAAAAGAAGAATAGGAGAGAAAGAAGAGGAGGAAGAATGTGAGCAAGAGAAAGACAAGAAGAAAGGAGAAAGCAGGAGGAAAAGAAGGATGAATAGAAAGATTAGGAATAGGAAAAAGAAGAATGAGAGGAGAAGTAAAAAGAAAAGGAGGAAGACAAAAGGAGGAATAGAAGTAAGAGGAGGAATAAAAGGATGAAGAGGAAGCGTAGGTATAAGAGGAGAAGGAGGAATAAGGAGATATAAAGGCCCCACTCCTCTGGACATTCACCTCACATTTTTCTCCAGATCGCTTCCTGTTGCACCTGACAAGAAAGCAAAATCTTGGCAACCATGTAAGTCCTTTAGTAGACTATGAATAATGTTTTCTATCCTGTTGGTCTCTTTTCATAAAGGCCCATGGGCAATACCTGAATTTCCTTCAGGCACAGCAACATCTGAACCATGTTGCCCTGGAAGGTACATAAAGTAAGCTGATGTTGTGTGGTTCTGTCTTCCACTTTGGAAGGGAAAGATCTCATCCTGCTTCTTGCTGTCACGTGTGGCTCCTGGGGCCAGATAGATTTTCTTGCATACCATCTCTAACCAATAAGATTGGACTACAATCATGGCTGGCCATGCCCCAGTTAAAACAGGGTGGACAGAATCTCCACCCTCATCTTGATTGCTTCTTTAGAAATAAAAAAGTCAAAGTAAATTTCGCCTTTCTCCTCCCATATCAATTGCATATCCCCTTACCTTATGGGCAGCACCATGGGACCAGATGGAATTCTGTGTAAGTTTTTTTTCCCTCCTACTTGGCATATATCCTAATGATTCTAGAGCCTTTTGGATAACAGGGTACTCTGAATGCTGGTTGGGCTCATGTCCTCTTGCTTAGAAGGCCTTCCATTTTATAAA